CCCTAAACCCTAACCCAAAACCCCAAACCCTAACACTGAAACCCCTAAACCCTAAACCCCCAAACCCTAACACTGAAACCCCTAAGCCCCAAACCCTAAACCCCTAAACCCTAAACCCCTAAACCCCTAAACCCCCAAACCGCGGCCTGACAAAAGGCGCGGCGAAAAGTGCGGCTGGAGAACCTCCACGAGGAGCTCCGGGCCGAGGCCGAACTCAGGTAATGTTTAGGGTTTAGGGTTTAGGGTTTAGGGTTTAGGGTTTAGGGTTTAGAGGTTTAGGGTTTAGGGTTTAGGGTTTAGGGTTTAGGGTTTAGGGGTTTAGGGTTTAGGGCCAGGCTTAGGCTTTAGGGGTTTAGGGTTTAGGGTTTAGGGGTTTAGGGTTTAGGGTTTAGTAGGGTTTAATGATTAGAATAGGGTTCCTTTCAAGGGTTGCTTAAAAAGGGATACTGCAAGGGTTATACACTATAAGGGTTCTATAATATGGGGGCCTTAACAATTAGAATAGGGTTTTGGGGCCCTTGATAGTATAAATATAATAAGGAACCACCAAAATAACATAGGTAATTATTGAGGCCCCTATATTATACTTCAGAGCATATACTCTTGTAACTATGATGGGATATTACAGGAGAGTATAGGACATTACAGGGTACGGTATCATATTCTCATATCTTATAGGATACGACAGGATATTGTAGGATAGAGCATATTCTTATGCATTATCGTCTTTTTTGGTATACTATGGTATATTCTAGTGCATGTTAAGACTACTATAGCAGTTAGCATATTCTTGCATATAGGATGTGATAGGAAATTCTAGGATATTCTGGTACGACTGTAATCTGCAGCACCCAAGCGAGGCTTTATTGTTCCTGCGGCAGCAGCCATTTGGCGTGGTCTGGAGCCCAGAAAACCAGTCGGAATCAGTGTTTAGGACATCAGGATTGTTGCTGCACCAGGAAACCTCCAAGGCCCTTTAGGGTTTAGGGTTTAGGGCCCAAAATGCATGACCCTCCGAGCACGCTTGGCGCCTTCATCGGGTTTCGGAGTCAGAAAAATTCTGTAAACTGTGAACCGTAAAACTTGACCCGGAACTTACCAACCTTGTCTTTCGGGGCGAGTCTCGCTGGGCTGGATAGAGTAAAGAGGCTATTGCACTTTAAAACAAACATAAAACCCGAAGAGAAACTGCGGCAGCAGCCGCGAAAACATGTAGGGTAAACGTATTTGAAGATGTGGCGGATTCGAGAGCACTCGCGGGGTTCAGGAAAACTGCTCGGAAGCTCCGGGGAACATAGGGATTCTAGGTGGATTTACAATGCCCGAGCTCCCCCCCCCCGTGCTTGCTTTCCTTTGAAAGCATTCCTTAATTCAGGCACATGGGCGGATATGGATCCTAGCGAAGCTCAGCGGCTTAGCTTTGGTTCCTTCGCCGTATGTGACAGCCTCTAGGAGGAGTAGCGTCGGTCTAGAGTGCCGACATGTAATATGGGGACGGGATTTTGCGGCATGCTAGACTATCACCATATGGTTGGACAAGGCTTCGCAATTATTCCCACATCCATAGTTGTTGACGACATCTGAAGCCGCCAAGACGGTACGCAAATGCAAGTCGTAAGTACCCGAGTCGAGCACAAAGTGTATAGTGTATGGCCGTTCCCTTGGAATAAAGTTGGAGTTCTAAACACTTCACTGGGCCTTGGGTTTTGGAGTTTGGCATTGTTTATGTGCTAGAAGAGCCTCCAAACACAGGATTGGCATCCTGCCCCTAAACCCTAAAGCCTAAACCCTGGCAAGGTTGCTCTTGGGAACTTTCTGTCCATGCCTACCCTGGTGCGGACAGCGGAAGCGAAAGACCGAGAAGGTTGGCGGGGCTTGGGGATTGAGGTTTACTTGCTTTAGGGGTTGAGGGGGGGTTTAGGGCTTCAGGGCTTTAGAGGTTTAGGGTAACAGAAAGAGTATAATAGTCGCAGGTCCTGGTCGTCTCCGTCGCTGCTGCCGTCGTCGCAGCAGTACCAGTATGTAAAGCTACAGATGATGTCGTGGTGATGCATGCTGTTGTTGTTTTCAACCGGCGATGGTGATGTGGCAAGGGTTGTGGCTGTGGTAGTATTTCTTGGTGTACAGGTTCAGAGCAAGCAGCAGGAATTAAAGGGAGGGAGCAACACCAGGTATAATCGCATTAAAGAAGTGGCATTGCATGGTAGTATCGCTTCTCGCCATGTTCAAAGAGCATTATCGTCGTAACAGCAGCAAGGCTTTCATGCTCGGACAGCGGACAACCCTAATGCTTACTGGGTTAAGGTCAAGGTCTCTATGATTCTGACTAACAGTGCCTCCATAGACCCAAACAAATGAAGACACACATCACACAACTTGCTGACTACGAAGCCCTAAGCCGTAAACCCTGAACCGCAACCCAAGCCCTAAAAACCGAAAGGTCCCTGCAACTCCAAATCCCAAACTCAAACATTCCCTAAACCCTACACCCTAGTTCCTAAACCCTAAACCCTAACCTTAAACCCTAAACCGTAAACCCTAAACCTTAAACCTTAAACCCTAAACCCTGAACAGGGGACAGTGCCGACTTCCAGGCATCCTACGTCAAGCGTTGGAGCACCCAGACTCTGAGTTGGAGGTGCATGGGACTTTCGCCCGGAAGCCAAGATTTAGGGTCTATGGTTTAGGGTTTAGGGTTTAGGGGTTTAGGGTTTAGGGTTTATGGTTTTGGGGTTTAGGGTTTAGGGTTTAGGGTCTAGGGTTTAGGGTTGAGGAAGATCCTACCCAGGGTCTGTGTCGAGGGCTTTGAGCTTAGTGTGCAGCTTAGGTCTTCGGGCCGTCGGGTCTGGAGTTGCAGGCTGTGGGGTTTTGGGTTTGGGGTTTGGGGGTGGGTTCACAGGATTTGGGATTTGAAGTTTTGGAGGTACCGCGGTAAGGTTCCAAGTTGGATAGACAGCTAGAATCAGATAGGTCGTTCGATTAGCATTTAGATAGATAATCACATAGATAGCTAGATAGATAGACAGACAACAGACGGATAGATAGGAAGTTCGAGGTAGATAGCTAGACAGATAGGTCGATTCATAGACGGATGGATGGATGGATGGGTGGATGGGTGGATGGGTGGATAGATAGACGGATGGATGGATGGATGGATGGATGGATGGATGGATGGATGGATGGATGGGTGCATGGATGCATGGATGCATGGGTGGATGGGTGGATAGATAGACAGATGGATAGACAGATCGGCAAAGTTGGACAGAGAGATGGTCAGATAGAGAGAGATACAGATAGATAGATAGATAGATAGATAGATCGATAGATGCGTAGTAGTAGCTAGCTAGATGGTTAGGTGGTTGGTTGGTTGGTTGGTGGGTGGGTGGGTTGGTTGGTTGACTGGCTGGTTAGCTAGCTAAGTTAGGTAGTCAGTTAGTTAGTCAGTCAGTCGGTTAGTTAGCTAACTAGATAGTTAGTCAGTGAGTGAGTGAGTGAGTCAGTCAGCCAGTCAGTGAGTGAGTGAGTTGGTTAGTTAGTTAGTTAGTCAGTTAGTTAGTCAGTCAGTTAGTTAGTTAGTTAGTTAGTTACTTAGTTAGTTAGTTAGTTAGACAAACAGTTTGATAGAAAGGTACACAGCCAGATAGATAGATGATAGATAGATGATAGATAGAGAGATAGATAGATCGATCGATGGATAGGTAGATAGATAGATAGATAGATAGATAGATAGATAGATCGACACGAGCGCGCACACACACACACACACACACTTGCACACATGTGCGCGCGAACATGCACCTGCACGCTGCGTGTTGCAGACTTCGCTGGCGCTCGCTTACAGTAGACGTGCAGCCTTAAGCAGGATCATTAAATCGGGTCTTCGTTCCCTTCTCTTCAGTGGCTTTACTGCTTCGCCCATTGATCAGGTGTCTTGGCGACCGCGTGCTTCGAAGCTGCGCCAAGGGGTGGAGCAGCTGTTTGCAGATACACAGGCTCCTACTCGAAAGCCCAGACCCTAAACCTTGAAACCCTAAAGCCCTAAAACCCCCAAACCCCTAAACCCTTAAACCCCTAAACCCTTAAACCCCTAAACCCGTAACCCGA